AAAAAAAAAAAAAAAAAAAAAAAAAAAAAGAAAACCTGTCCAATGCTTTTTTTTTTTTTTATTTTTATTTCTTGAAATATTGAATAATTTTTAATTTAAGAAAACCAAATAGTTTGTTGATAGTTCAAAGGTATTGTTGTAAACTGTTGCACATCACTATGTACCAACGATTATCATCACATAAGCAAAAAACAAAAGTTGTTGTTGTTGTTGTTGTTTTTTGGCAGTTATGAGTAGCAGTTTTTTTTCATTTTTTTTGCTGATAGATTTGTATATTGAAAGGAAAAAAAACAGAATTTGATTGAAAAACAAACCGTAAACAGTAAACACATCCCTTGTCGATACGTCGACTGTCAAGTGTCATGCATGACTGTGGATTAGCATAAAACCAAATTAAACCGCTACCATCGCTGATCAAACATTTGTAATATTCAATACCATCTTGATCACGTGCTACAGCTAAAAATACTTTATCAAACTATCAAATATGCAGTTACTGGTAAACAGAAAAAAAAAAGGAAAAAAATTGTAGCATTATTTTGTTGCTTCTTCCTTCAGTTAAGGATAGTCTGAATTTGTTTTTCCAAAGAAGTGCCAAAAGCAGAGATGAAAAAGCTGCAAAAAACTGTATTCAATTTTACTGAAACAAAACAAAAAAAAAAGTGTTCAATTAAAAAGTTCACAAATTTTTCACCTTTTTTTTTTTTGTATTTGAAAATAAAACAGTTTTATAATGACAGTGTTTAATTAGTAAAAATTGTTGACTAAAGCTACCAATAATGTTATTATATTGGTTAAGAAATTTTATCAGATTTTCATTTTTTTTTTTTTTTTTGGAGCAATTTTAACAACTGCCAAATAATCACAAAAAGTTTTGGTCTACTAAAATTTCAGTGTTAGGAAAGTCTGTAATTGATGCAGTAATATTTGATCGAAGAGATCTATGATCTTCATATTTTGTTTCAACAGTTTTTGAGAAAAGAAAAAAAATTTTTTTTTTTACATCTATATGTAATGGGAGAGTGGGAAAAACAGAGAAGTTCGGTTAAGGGGGAGAAATGGGGTAAAAACGGTCACGAGAATTAATAAAAACTAACAAACCTACTGATTTGACAAGGGCATTCAATACATGTACGGTCATATTTTCTTCTAAATTTGCTATTTTAACTGTTGGTTCATCGTCGTCATCAAATATTTCATTCATAGTTTATTCACCAATTAATTGTATATCGTCCTTAAAATTGTTCCAAATTTCTTTTGCCAAGATTATCAATACAGTATTCAACAGAAGAAAGCAATGAAAAGTTGCTGATAACTTAACAACTGCTTACCAAAGAGTAGATTAATGATAAACTGTAATACTTTAGCAGTCGTTTTTTAAGCAGATTTAAATGCCGAAAACCAAAAAAAAAAAAAAAA